ACCCGCTCGTCAAAGGTCAAAATGGCCACAAGAGGCAAATGTCCCGTTTTGATCTCATTTGGGTGCGAGCCATTGGGACATCCCTGTCAGCAAATGAAGCGCACCTTTGCTGGGAACTACAGTGACTGATGACCTCTGCTTCTCTAGCTTGACGGGTGCGCTAGGAATTTATTTGGATGGTGAGCATGCAGGAGACTATTCCAGTTGACTCTGGGCGATACTAACATTTGTCCAAATAAAATGCCGATAACCGATTCATCGTATGACTACCTTAAAAAGTATGCATAACGAATAAAAAAACTCTTTTGGGGTCAAAACAATTAAGAATGTAAATGACAGGCAGAAGATTTATTTCACACTTGCCTCGAGTATTTGTTTGACTTTACACCAAAGAGAAAAGTCTGCCTTTGGGGGCGGGCTGTCCGAATGCCACTGTCTTTGTCTTATGTTGCAATGTGTGTAAAAAAAAAAAAATGTAATAATAAAAATAATAACAATCTACAGAAAAATTGATGAATCTTATTATTATTATTATGTCATTGGAATGTGGGAGGAACCGAAATAAAGCCAAGATTCAAACCTCAGACCTCATAACTGCGATGCAGACACAATGACCCCACCAACATTCTGCGCCTCTTTTCTTATCGAATGACTTTCAATTGAATCCGTAACTTGCACTCACACCCATCTCTAAAAAAAAAAAAAAAAAAAAAAAGCGTGATAATTCCCCAAAGTACCTTGCTCAGCAATGTCAATCTCACGACGGCCAAACTCGGCCTGTTTGATGTTCTTCACGCAGAAGTCGCTGCTGCCCTGTGTGTTGACCTGAGCTTTGTCTCTTGGGGAGGTTTCATCATCGGAGCTGTCCGTATACGACGCAGCTGGCGGAAGAAGGAAGGACGGAAGGAGGGAAGCACAGAAGGAAGGAAGGATGAAGGAAGGACAGAAGGAAGCAAGATGGGAAAGGAGGGAAAGGAAGGAAAGACAGAAATGTTCATAAATACATTAAAAGAGGCCATTTTCATGGACCCCTTGTATGAGTTCACCTTTAACACGCATAAATAACTGACATGCAGTGAATCTGGTAAGTGTTCACGGAGCTGCTAGTGTACGGCGCAGCTGGCGGAAGAAGGAAGGAGGGAAGGACAGAAGGAAGGAAGGAAGGAAGGAAGGAAGGAAGGAAGGAAGGAAGGAAGGAAAGAAGGAAGGAAGCGAGGACAAAAAGAAGCAAGCTGGGAAAGGAGGGAAGGAAGCAAGGAAGACAGGGAGGAAGGAAGAAAGAATGAATAAATACATCAAAAGAGGTCATTTTATGAATGTACCGCATGAACACGCATAAATAACTGACACACAGTGAACCTGGGAAGCATTCACAGCGCTTCACTTTCTCGACATTTTGTTACGTTGTCGGCTTATGCCCAAAATAGAGCCAATTGGCATCCGAGGCCTTCGGGATCTATTTCTGAAAATCTGTCTGCGCGAGCGCGCTAATTTATCTCCCAGCATCCCCACGCCGTTTATCTAGCCCGCGACTCATTGACAAGTGGATCGTATGAAGCGTGTGTAGTCCACGCCTGTGTGCAGACAGCGCTTGCCCAGTTCAATCCCCTAATTTCACCTCAAACAAAATCCGGCCTCACCGTCAGCTCAGCTATACATCGGGTGGGGTGAACTGCACGAGGCAGGACCACGCCCTTCAAAGTTAATTTGAGTAAAGCCGCTGAATAGGATGGAAATCGGTTCATATGTAGATTAGGCAAAATGAAAAAAAAAAAAAACCTACTGCTGTTTGAGCGGTGATGTGGGTACAGCCCACCACCTTGGCCCCTGCCAGAGGCTTCTCACCCTGGGCTCGCTTCCTCAGGGAAATGAGGGCCGACATATCTGGAGCAAGCAAACACACGCTCGTCAAAGGTCAAAATTGCCACAAGATGCAAATGTCCCGCTTTGATCTCATTTGGGTGCGAGCCATTGGGACATCCCTGTCAGCAAATGAAGCGCACCTTTGCTGGGAACTACAGTGACTGATGACCTCTGCTTCTCTAGCTTGACGGGTGCGCTAGGAATTTATTTGGATGGTGAGCATGCAGGAGACTATTCCAGTTGACTCTGGGCGATACTAACATTTGTCCAAATAAAATGCCACTCACAGAAAGATTTGGGGGAAAATAAAGACATAAAATTACAAATAAAAATGTGCCCCAGGCACCACTTCCATCAAATTGGCAACAGAACACGCCCAAAAGTCTGAGTCTGAAACTGAAGAGCATATTTCACACTTGCCTCGAGTATTTGTTTGACTTTACACCAAAGAGAAAAGTCTGCCTTTGGGGGCGGGCTGTCCGAATGCCACTGTCTTTGTCTTATGTTGCAATGTGTGTAAAAAAAAAAAAATGTAATAATAAAAATAATAACAATCTACAGAAAAATTGATGAATCTTATTATTATTATTATGTCATTGGAATGTGGGAGGAACCGAAATAAAGCCAAGATTCAAACCTCAGACCTCATAACTGCGATGCAGACACAATGACCCCACCAACATTCTGCGCCTCTTTTCTTATCGAATGACTTTCAATTGAATCCGTAACTTGCACTCACACCCATCTCTAAAAAAAAAAAAAAAAAAAAAAAAAGC